TAGTATAATATGACTCAAAACCCTATTCTAATCATTATGACCCCAACATGAGCAGTCCTCGGTCGTCTTGTCCAATTCCGAGTGTAAGCAACACGAATGTCACGCCCGAAGATGCACACACTGCAGCTTATCACTAGTGTCACACGCTGATGCCTGCGAGAAGCTGCAAACCCGAACAGCCAAACCCGAGTCCAAACCTGGAGATCTAAAGGCGCATCGGGTGAAGCCTTGACGGCCTTCAAGTTGGATGCTGCCAAGTTCCCTGGCTGTTGGAGAGCCGAATGTTCAACACGGCCTCCGGGCGGCTGCGAGACTTTGGGACACCATTCACTCAACGCGGGCATGCCACGTGTTGTTGGACCTACATAGACCCTCATATGTAGTGCGGAGAATGAGAAACACCTACTCCAGTCCAAGATGCAACGGTACATGGCTATCTGCAGTGGACGATGTACAGCAAATCTTGCGAGCTTCATCAGTTGGGTTTTTTGTTTCAGAGTTTCGGGCTGTGGTGCTTCCGGCTGCGGGGATTGAGGCTTTATGTGGAGGTGAACCCGAGTTGTGACCAACGCTCCCATGTCACACTCGTTTTGACTTCAGTTTTTCAAACACGGGCCTCAGGAACGATTCCACAGGTGTGAGCTAAAGAGCGCCTCCCTTTCCTAGCAGCCGAATGCAAGACCCAGGCTTGAACGTCCAACACTCTACAAGCTTGGTCTGGGCTTCTGGTAGGAGGGATTCATGATTCTACTTTAGGGTATTATTCTACTTTAGGGTCGTATTCTACTCTACCCTGGGGTCTTATAGGTTTTAGGAGCATTGCACATCAGCCAAGAACCAAAAAGCAGACCCGAGCTGTGTCTGCTCAAGGTTTTTGTTGGACCGTAGGGCCTGAGGGCTGCTTACGGGTTAAGGTTCCTGAGTAGTACCCTTTTGCCCTTTTTGTTTTTGGGGTCTCTTTATTAAAACCGAATACTAGGAAAAAGGGTGCCCTTAGTATTTAGGGGTGAGGAACCTAGGGGTTAAGAGTTCAGGATTTAGGGTTAAGGGCGTGGAGCCCGATTGCAAAGCTGCTTGGATGTTCTCTGGGTACACCGCGTCATGGTCAGGAAGAAGAAAAAGTAAGACGACAGAATGAAGGCAGCTGCTGGCTCCATCTCGGGCATCGGTACAACCCAGCCGTCACAACAGTACCTCCGAATTCGAGACAGAACCGGTACCACAATCAGAAGCGGCCGAGGAATATCTACAAATACGAGTGCAGCAAGATTGGTGTCCTGTCTGCCCCCTTAAGGCTGAATTCTGTTAGGATGCTTTCGTTTCAGACGTTGAGCTGCAGGGCAACGATTTTGGGGCTTCAGTGTAAAGGCCTGTCTTTCGAGCTGTCTGAAATCACGTTCTCAGGTTTCGCTGAACTCGCTGAACAGACATGTCGAGTTTCTTGTCACGTATAGACACGATACTGGTGCGGCTCCTCTCCAGGGTGGTTTAGCCACCCAACCTCTCCGCAGAAAACCAGCATCCCTCGACAGCAAGGCGCAGGTCGTTGCTTTTGCAGCTGCCATACTATTTTTGTCAAAACCAGGACAGCCATGCCGATGCATGATGAACCAGGCACCGCGTGACGTAAAGCTTCTACACACCATCTCTGCACCCCCACAAACCTTCCAGAGACTCCAATATCCTTTAATTAAGGTATATTCCTTAAATTATAGTAGGGGCCCTAATATGGTTTAAGGTATATTCCTTAGTTAAGGGATATTGGAGTCTCCGGGCTTCACAACATGAGAGAAACAAAACCTCGGGCGTGGCATCCCTGGCCCTTTGAGTTTTTTGCTTGAGACCCACAAGATTCTCAGGAGCCTCCTAAGCCCTAAACCCTAAGCCCTAAACCCTAAACCCTAAACCCTAAACCCTAAACCCTAAACCCTAAACCCTAAACCCCGAATCCTAAACACTAAACCCTAAACCCTAAACCCTAAGCCCTAAACTGAGGTGGCTTGGGCGCCTGCTTCGATTACTACAGCGCCCAGGTCGAGATCCCGAGTGCCTCGGTTATTGCAGGAAGAGGGCTGCCAGCTTGGCTTGGGCTTTCTTTTGGGTTTCGGGTTTTAGGGTGTTTAAGGTTTTCGGGTTTTTAGGGTTTTAGGGTTTTAGGGTTCAGGGTTTTAGAGCTTTAGGGCTTTAGGGCTTTAGGGTTCAGGGTTGAGGGCTCTGGGAAGTTTAGGGTTCACGCTTAGGCTGCGGGGTTTGAGATGGGAGACGAGGGTCACTTGTCGTCATCGTTCGTTGTGGCAGTGGTGGCTGGCTGTTGGTGCTTGGTGCTTGGTAGTTGTTGATAATTAATGGTTGGTGGTTGGTAGTAATTAAACAGTAGTAGTTTTGTTGTTGCTGTTGTTGGTGGTTCCTGTCTTTCGGGAGGTTGAGGGCTTAAAAGCTTTCTTGTGGATGCTGCATTTGTCTATGCGAACTGATTTCTGTGCTTGTTAGATAGCTACGAAATCTCAGTAACCAGAAAAAGGCACATCATGAGAACTTGATTGGCGGGGTCAGAGGTATGCAAGCACTTGTCACGCGATATGGTACACACAGAACGAAGCACTCCGCACAAAAATAGATTGGCGCACGATTGGCGCACATCCTTCGTGCTTGAAACTTCAATTGAATCATCTCCAAGCGCGTTTAACCCGAAGTCAGCGAGGCTTCGGCCAATCGATCAACCACTGGCGCCTCCTCTTAAAGGGTATGGGGGAGGGGGGGGGGGGGGGGGGTCGGTGTTGAGAATTCTGTTATTTGTAAGCAAATGCAGATCTTGGCTTCCAGGGTCAACTCGTTGAGGTCTTCGGGTTCGGGTCCTTCCACAACCAGGGATGGACCCCTGAGTTTTCGGCGTCGTGTATGTCTTTCTTTGGTTCTCCGAAGGCTTTGCTGGGCTTTGTGTTTTGGGTTTAGGGTTTAG